GCAGCCCAAATCTCACACAGGTAAACTCACAAGTCCTAGAATTCAGAAAAACACCTTGCTCAGTATCTCAATCACATTTTATCTCAAGCACCTATTTTATACATTGTGAGTCATTACCTATATATTAGCAAATCATGCAATCTCAACATCAATCAACACACTAGAGCATCACAAAGCAATACTTATCACAAAACACAACAGTTGGACCAAAGCAGTGTAATTTATCCAAGCACAATATAATAACAAAACAAATAATTCAAAAGAAAGGTTTAGAAAGATGGGTTGCCTCCTAGTAAGCGCTTCTTTAACGTCACTAGCTTGACACCATAAAATCAATGTGGATCAACCAACTCCATAACAGTGGAAAGGCATTGCACCTCACCACCCAAATAATGCTTGAGACGTTGTCCATTGACCATCCAACTTCTTTGTGGGTCTGTAGAGGATGGATCTGTCAACTCAACTGCTCCATGTGGAAGGACATTCTTGACCATAAACGGACCAGACCACTTGGACTTCAACTTTCCAGGGAAATGTTTTGGTCGGGAATTGAATAGCAACACTTGTTGTCCTAGATTAAAGACCTTTTTTATAAGTTTCTTGTCATGATAAAATTTCACCTTCTCTTTGTAATTCTTAGAAGAATCATAGGCATGTAGCCGCATTTCCTCAAGTTCAATAATTTGCCTTCTTCTCTTTTCTGCAATGTCACTAGGATCATAATTCAAGAATTTTAAGGCCCACAAAGCTCGATGTTTCATCTCCACCGGAAGGTGACATGCCTTTCCATAGACCATTTGGAAAGGAGATAATCCAATAGTTGTCTTCATTGCAGTTCGATATTCTCAAAGAACATCATTTAACTTCTGAGACCAATCCTTTCTTGATAAAGAAACTGTCTTTTCTAGAATCCTCTTTATTTCCCTATTAGAAACCTCAGCTTGCCCATTTGTTTGTGGATGGTAAGTTGTAGCTACCTTGTGTCTCACACCATAATGCTTGAGTACCTTTGTAAGCTAAAAATTGAAAAAATGAGATCCTCCATCACTTATGAGTACTCTAGGTGTTCCAAAACGGGAGAAAATTTGCCTTTTCAGAAAATTAATCATAGTGCTAGAATCATTCTTAGGACAAGCTAGGGCTTCAACCCATTTACTCACATAATCCACTGCCACCATTATGTATTCATTATTAAAATATGGTGGAAAAGGTCTAACAAAGTCTATGCCCCACCAATCAAAAACTTCAACCTCTAGGATCTTTGTAGTGGCTTTTCATGACGTCTAGAAACAGTACCCGTCCTTTGACACTTGTCAATGTTCTTGGCATGATTATGAGCATCTTTAAACACGGTAGGCCAATAAAATCCTGACTGTAACACTTTTGCAGCTGTTCTCTCTCCACTAAAATGTCCCCCATAAGGTGAGTCATGACAGTGCCATAAAATTCCTTCCACTTCTTCCTTAGTCACACAACGCCTCAGAAGGTTGTCTGCTCCAATTTTGAACAAGTAAGGATCATCCCAAATGAACTGTTTGGCATCATGCAAGAATTTTTTTCTTTGTTGCCAATTGAGATCTACTGGGCTTACTCCTACAACTTTGAAATTAGCCATATTAGCAAACCACGACCTTTGTTGGATGTACATGAGTGTTTCGTCTGAGAAAGATTCCCAAATTTATGCTTCCTTACTTGTGACTTCACTGTAAACCAACCAGGATAAATGATCAGCAATTACATTTTCACTTCCCTTCTTGTTGCAGATTTCCATATCAAACTCTGGTAACAAAAGCACCCATCTAATCAATCGCGGCTTGGAATCCGGCTTGGTTAGCAAGTACTTTATAGCTACATGGTTAGTGTAGATAATCACTTTAGACCCAATGAGATAAGGTCTAAATTTCTCCAAGGCATACACAATAGCAAGCAATTCTTTCTCTGTAGTGGCATAATTCAACTGGGCTTCATTCAAAGCCTTGCTTGCATAATAAATAGTGTGAAATACCTTTTCTATTCTTTGGCCAAGAACAGCATATATGGCATAATTACTGGCATCACACATCAGCTCAAAATCTTGGTTCCAATCAAGAGCTACAATAACTAGGGAAGAAATCAATTTTTTCTTCAAAACATCAAACGCCTTAAGGCACTCTTCATCTAGCACAAATGGGGCATCCTTAACAAGGAGGTTGCTTAAGGGTTTGGCAATCTTTGAAAAATATTTGATGAATCTCTGTAAAAACCAGCATGCCCCAAAAAAGCTTCTGATTCCCTTCACATTGGTTGGTGGTGGAAGTTTTTCAATAACCTTCACTTTGGCTCTGTCAACTTCAATTCCCCTGGAAGAAATTTTATGACCCAAGACAATGCCTTCCTTTACCATAAAGTGACATTTTTCCCAATTAAGAACAAGATTGGATTGGGTGGATCTTTTAAGTACAACATCCAGGTTAGACAAACACTCATGAAAAGAACTGCCAAACACTGAAAAATCATCCATAAAGACTTCAATGCATTTTTCTACCAAATCTGCAAAGATTACTTGCATACATCTCTGAAAAGTGGCTGGAGCATTACATAACCCAAACAACATTTTTCTGTATGCAAAGACTCCAAATGGGTAAGTGAAAGCCACTTTTCTTGGTCTTTTGGATCCACCGCAATTTGATTATATCCAGAATATCCATCCAGAAAATAATAGAAAGCCTGGCCTGCCAATCTCTCCACCATCTGATCCATGAAAGGAAGGGGAAAGTGATCCTTCCTAGTGGCATTGTTCAACTTTCTATAGTCAATACACATCCTCCATCCAGTAACAGTCCTTATGGGTATGAGCTCATTTTTTTCATTATAAATAACTGTCATCCCATCTTTCTTTGCTACCACCTGTACTAGGCTTACCCATGCACTGTCAAAAATAGGGTAAATAATGTCAGCTTCAAGTAACTATAGCACTTCCTTTCTCACCTCTTCCTTCATCACTGGATTCAACCTTCTCTGTGGTTGAGCAATGATAACGGTTTAAAATATCGTTATCTGTGATGTAATTTTGATACTAAATACACCCTTTTTGACTTAGAAACTTGCTTGGACTCATCCTTTTTCATTAAGTTGTGTGAATAAGAGAGTTGAGGTTGAATTTGATGATTTTATGACTAATTCCCTTTGTTTTGATAGAAAATGCGTTAATACAGGAAGCAGAGATGAAGTGCTAAGGATATAGAGCTTAGAAAGGCCCAGAAAAGCACCAGAAGAGGGAACCGCACGAAGCTTGGGCGACCTGTAGGAGGCTTGGGCGTGGAAAAATTGGCGCCCGCCGCCCAGGCGGGCTAGGTCAAGCCTTACGCAAATCGACATCCACCGCCCAGGCGGTCAAATGGGTCGCCCGAGCGGCGTGCGTTGTTGATCCGGCCCAGTTTTTGCTCTGTTTCGACTCTTTTTGATCAGGCGCTGTTTCTACTCTTTTCCAAATTTATTTAAAAGACCCAGGCGCTCTAGGTTTGGTATCTCTGGCTGGAGCAACACAACAGCACACTCTTTTACTCTCTAAAGGCGGATCTAGAGGAGGAAGCTTCCTCTTCTACTCTTAGGGTTTTCTATCTCATGCTTTTCCATTGTACATCTAGTTTCTCCATGTCTATGGGGAACTAAACTCTATTTTTTGTTGGGGAATGATGTAACCTTGTGAACTCTCGTGTATTTGAATTGATTCTTAATCATATATGCTTTATTCATTAATTGTTAGAGAATTCATTTGTTTTAATGCTTGCTCTATTTAAATCATTTAGTTGCATGATTTATGAATTGCAGGAGTGCCGGGGGGTTCCTTACAATTCAAGTTCTTGTTGAATTCTCCCAAGGGTAATATTTCTCAAGGATGAGGGTACGAGTACTTGGTCGTCTTAAGCTCTTGATCTTCAGACTTAAGTTTCTAAGAACGCTAGGAATTGCACGAACTAGGAATTAAGGCAGGCTTATTGCGCCAAGGGATTGGGTTCTAAGTACTTTAGTGAGTGACGTTAACATTAATGCATAAAGAGGAATTCTTATATACATGAGATGGAACTTGGTGAAATCTAACCCCAACAACATATTCATCTCATATTAAACAACATACGTTCATCTGTGTGTTACTCTACTATTGATCAATTTGCATTCATATTTGATTTTATGTTTTTGCATCTCAAACCAATGTTCTCGTTTATTTTAAGTCTTAATTAATTAATATATCACACGATTGTTTAGTGTCGAGAGTCCTCTAGGATACGATACTTGGTCTTACCATTTTATATTACTTATGCGATTTGGTACACTTGTTAATCTATCAACAAGTTTTTGGCGTCGTTGCTGGTGACTCACGGTTTAAACTATTCTATTTGTGTGATTCTTAATTAATTTTGGCTTTATTTTATTTTACTTTATTTTATTTGATTTGATTTGATTTTGTTTTATTTTATTTTCGTATCTTTTATTTTTAATTTTATTTTATTTTTGCTAACAATATTTTTTTAGAATTTTTAGCTTGCAGGATGCAATTCGGACAAGTTGTCGGTCAACAACAATGGCAGCAACAACCTTCTCTATTATAAATATGGGCTAAGATGGATGATACCCTTCAACAGTTACTACAGGTATCTGATTCAAGAGGATAGAGCAGCAGCTTTGTCACATGATTTAGAAGTTGGATGATCTGGGGATTAACCTGAAAGCCAACTCCAGAGAAGAATGCAACGCTATTGTTACTAGAAGTGGCAAAGTTTTAGATGAGAGGTTGAGTGAAAAGAAAAAAAAAGAGAGTGAAAAAAAAGAAAAAGAAAGGTTGAGTGAAAAAGAAGAGAGAGAAGAAAAAGAAAAAGAGACAGAAGAAAAAGAAAAAGAGACAGAAGAAAAAAAATGAGAGAGGAAGAAGACGAGAGAAAGAAAAAAGAATCTTATGAAAAGCCCCTTCCTTATCCAAAGAATTATTCCAAAAAGGAAAAGAAAAACAGTTTGAGCGTTTCATGAAAATCTTCAAGAAATTGGAGATTAATATACACTTCTCTGAAGCTCTGCAACAAATGACTTCATATGTTAAATTTTTGGAGGAGCTCCTCACAAAGAAAAGGAAGTACATTGACGAAGAAACTATTGAAGTTCAAGGAATCTCTAGTGTTATCATACAAAAGCTCCTACCCCCCAAGTATAAAGATCTAGGAAGTTTCACCATTCCCTACACTATAGGGAATATCTCTATTGGAAAAGCACTTATTGATCTGGGAGCCAGTATTAATCTCATGTCGCTATCCATGTTTGAAAAGATTGAGGGGTTGGAACTCAAGCGTACTCGGATGACTCTTCCACTTGTAGACAAATCTCTGAAATATCCTTATGGGGTGGCTGAAGATGTGCTTATGAAAGTAGATAAATTTCTTTTTCCTGTGGACTTTGTCATCATGGAGTTGGAGGAGGATTTGAATGTACCTCTTATTCTTGGGAGACCTTTTATGAAGACAGCAAGAGTTTTGATTGATGTGGAAAACGGCAAACTAAAGGTGAGAGTGCAAGATGAAGAAGTAAATTTTGATGTCTTTAAAGCCATGTCTCACCCAAAAGATGATAAGGAATGTTTTCATCTTGATGCTTTTGATGAAATTTGTATGATCCAAGAAAACAACGCAAGTGATACTCTTTCTTTGGAGGAAATACTAGTTGACACTTGTGAAGAGCTGAATGAAAAAGAAGAGGAATTAATTTATGAGTTCTTCATTGATTTGGAAGAATTAAAAAAGGATCCTTTCCAAAATACAGAAGAAAAAGCCAAGGAAAGCAAAAAGGAGTTGAAGATGTTACCACCACACCTGAAATATGTGTTTCTAGAAGAAGGTGGGAACAAACTAGTCATCATTAACAACTCTCTGTCTCCCAAAGAAGAAGAAAAGTTGGTAGAAATACTCAAAGCCAACAAAAGAGCAATTGGATGGTCAATCTCATATCTCAAAGGTGTAAGTCCAACATATTGCATGCACAGGATATTCATGGAAGATGATTACAAACCAGTTGCCCAACCATAGAGGAGGCTCAATCCAGTGATGAAGGAGGAGGTGAGAAAAGAAGTGCTAAAGTTACTTGAAGCTGGCATTATTTATCCTATTTTTGATAATGCATGGGTAAGCCCAGTACAGGTGGTACCAAAAAAAGGTGGGATGACAGTTATTTATAATGAAAAAAATGAGCTCATACCCACAAGGACTGTTACAGGCTGGAGGATGTGTATTGACTACATGAAGTTGAACAATGCTACTAGAAAGGATCTCTTTCCCCTTCCTTTTATGGATCAGATGCTAGAGAGGTTATCAGGTCAGGCTTTTTATTGCTTTATGGATGGATATTCAGGTTACAATCAAATTGTGGTGGATCCAAAAGACCAAGAGAAGACAACTTTCACATGCCCATTTGGAGTGTTTTCTTATAGAAAAATGCCTTTTGGGTTATGTAATGCTCCAACAACTTTTCAGAGATGCATGCAAGCTATTTTCGCAGATTTAATAGAAAAGTGCATTGAGGTCTTCATGGATGATTTTTCAGTATTTGGCAGTTCCTNTATGATCCAAGAAAACAACGCAAGTGATACTCTTTCTTTGGAGGAAATACTAGTTGACACTTGTGAAGAGCTGAATGAAAAAGAAGAGGAATTAATTTATGAGTTCTTCATTGATTTGGAAGAATTAAAAAAGGATCCTTTCCAAAATACAGAAGAAAAAGCCAAGGAAAGCAAAAAGGAGTTGAAGATGTTACCACCACACCTGAAATATGTGTTTCTAGAAGAAGGTGGGAACAAACTAGTCATCATTAACAACTCTCTGTCTCCCAAAGAAGAAGAAAAGTTGGTAGAAATACTCAAAGCCAACAAAAGAGCAATTGGATGGTCAATCTCATATCTCAAAGGTGTAAGTCCAACATATTGCATGCACAGGATATTCATGGAAGATGATTACAAACCAGTTGCCCAACCATAGAGGAGGCTCAATCCAGTGATGAAGGAGGAGGTGAGAAAAGAAGTGCTAAAGTTACTTGAAGCTGGCATTATTTATCCTATTTTTGATAATGCATGGGTAAGCCCAGTACAGGTGGTACCAAAAAAAGGTGGGATGACAGTTATTTATAATGAAAAAAATGAGCTCATACCCACAAGGACTGTTACAGGCTGGAGGATGTGTATTGACTACATGAAGTTGAACAATGCTACTAGAAAGGATCTCTTTCCCCTTCCTTTTATGGATCAGATGCTAGAGAGGTTATCAGGTCAGGCTTTTTATTGCTTTATGGATGGATATTCAGGTTACAATCAAATTGTGGTGGATCCAAAAGACCAAGAGAAGACAACTTTCACATGCCCATTTGGAGTGTTTTCTTATAGAAAAATGCCTTTTGGGTTATGTAATGCTCCAACAACTTTTCAGAGATGCATGCAAGCTATTTTCGCAGATTTAATAGAAAAGTGCATTGAGGTCTTCATGGATGATTTTTCAGTATTTGGCAGTTCCTTTCATGAGTGTTTGTCTAACCTTGATGTTGTACTTAAAAGATGCATCCAATCCAACCTTGTTCTAAATTGGGAAAAATGTCACTTTATGGTCACAGAAGGTATTGTTTTGGGGTATAAAATTTTTTCCAGGGGAATTGAGGTTGACAGAGCCAAAGTGGAAGTCATTGAAAAACTTCTGCCACAAACCAATGTGAAGGGGATTAGAAGTTTTCTAGGCCATGCTGGTTTTTACAGAAGATTTATCTAAGATTTTTCAAAAACTGCCAAACCACTGAGCAACCTCCTTGTCAAGGACGCACCCTTTGTGATGACTGACGAATGTCTTCAGGCATTTGATATTTTGAAAAAAAATTGATTTCTTCCCTAGTAATTGTAGCTCCTGATTGGAACCAAGATTTTGAGCTTATGTGTGATGCCAGCAATTATGCTATAGGAGCTGTCCTTGGCCAGAAAAGAGAAAAGGTATTTCATACTATTTATTATGCAAGCAAAGTTTTGAATGAAACCCAGTTGAATTATGCCACCACAGAAAAAGAATTTATTGCTATTGTATATGCCTTGGAGAAATTTATACCATACCTCATTAGGTCTAAATTGATTATCTAGTAAGATCATGCAGTTATGAAGTATTTGCTAACCAAGCCAGATTCCAAGCCGCGATTGATGAGATTGGTGCTTTTGTTACAAGAATTTGATGCGGAAATCCGTGACAAGAAAGGAAGTGAGAATTTAATTGTTGATCACTTATCCCGGTTAGTTAAAAGTGAAGTTACAAGCAAGGAAGCAGAAATTTGGGAATCTTTCTCGGATGAAACACTCATGTATATACAACAAAGGTCGTGGTTTGCTGATATGGCTAATTTCAAAGCTACAGGAGTAATCCTAGATGATCTCAATTGGCAACAAAGAAAGAAATTTTTACATGATGCCAAACAGTTTATTTGGGATGATCCTTACTTGTTTAAAATTGGGGCAGATAACCTTCTAAGGCGTTGTGTGACTAAGGAAGAGGTGGAAGGAATTTTGTGGCACTGTCATGACTAACCTTGTGGAGGTCTTGGAGAGAAAACAGATGCAAAAGTACTCCAGTCAGGATTTTATTGGCCTACTTTGTTTAAAGATGCTCATAATCATGCTAGAAACTGTGATAAGTGTCAAAGGACAAGTACTATTTCTAAACGACATGGGATGCCACTACAAAGCATATTGGAAGTTGAAGTTTTTTTTTGTTGGGGCATTGATTTTGTTGGGCCTTTTCCACCTCTTTCAATAATGAGTATATCCTGGTGGTTGTGGATTATGTGAGCAAATGGGTTGAAGCCCTAGCCTGTCCCAAGAATGATTTCAAAACTGTCATCAGATTTCTGAAAATGCAAATTTTCTCCCGGTTTGGAACACCTAGAATACTCATTAGTGATGAATGATCTCATTTTTGCAATTTTCAGCTGGCAAGGGTACTAAAGCATTATGGTGTGAGACACAAGGTAGCGACACCGTATCACCTACAGACAAACGGGCAAGCTGAGGTTTCTAACAGAGAGATAAAAAGAATTTTAGAAAAGACAGTGGCCACGTCAAGAAAAGATTGGTCTCAAAAGTTGGATGATGCCCTCTAGGCATACAGAACTGCAATGAAGACAGCTAACGGATGTCGCTGTCGTTGAAGCTATCAAATTAATACTACTTTTCAAGGCAACTTCAGTATTG